AGTTGTTTTTTTTGAAAAAAAAAAATAAACAAAATTGACAACTCTTGGCTAGACTAACATTAAAGAGAGAGAAGACCAAAATAAATAAAATCAAAAATAAAAATGAAAAATTTAAAACAGATGACTCAGGAAAAAAATGATCAAAAGGGACTATTATGAACAATTATACACCAACAAATTGAATAACCTAGAGGAAATGCATGAATTCCTAGAAAAATACAACCTACCAAGATTGAGTTAGAAAGAAATAGACTGAACACACCAATAACAAATATAGAAATTGAAAAAGTACTTTTAAAAATCTCTCAATAAAGTAGGACCAGATGGCTTCATAGCTGAATTCTACAAAGCATTCAAAGAAGAACTAATAGCATTCAAAGAAGAACTAATATGAATACTTGTTTCAACTCTTCCAAAAAATAGAGTTTGAGGGAATACTTCCAAACACATTTTATGAGACCAGATCACCTTGATATTTAAGCCAAAGATACCACAAGAAAAGAAAACTATAGGCCAATTTCTTTGAGGATTTTTGGATCAATATTTATCAATGAAACATTAGCAAAACAAATCCAGCAGCACATGCAAAGATTATATATTACAACTAAGTGAGATACATCCGTGACATGAAAGGCTGATTTGTCATATCCAAATCAATGTGATGTATCACAGTAATAAAATGAAAGGTAAAGCCACATGATCATCTCAAATTCAAGTCAGAAAAAGCATCCAACAAAGTCTCATTTTTTTTTTAATAAAAACCCTCAACAGTCTATAGAAGAAAAGTTCCTTGATAAAATAAGGCCATTTGTGAAAAACTTACAGTGAAGTCAATGGGACAAAACTGGAAGCTTTTCCACTAAGATCTTGTACAAACCAAGAACACACCCACTTCTATTCAACAAAGTACTGGAAGTACTAGGAAGAACAGCAAAAAAATAAAACGTAACTAAATGGGAAAGGAAGACTCTCTCCTTGTAGCTGACATAATTCTATATGTAAAATTCTTCAAAGATTTCTCACACACACACACACACACACACACACACACACACACAAATACAAGCTATGAAAACTAATAAATGGATTCAGTGAAGTTGCAAGCTATAAGATCAACATAAAAACATCAGTATTTTTACACACAAATAATGGCCTAATTGGTAAAGAAATCAAGAAAGCAATCTCATTTATCACAGCACCAAAAATAATTAACTCTCTAGGACCAAATTTAACCAAAGCAGCAAAAGACCTATACACAGAAAAGCCAATGAAAAAATGGGCAAAAGATCTGAATAGACATAACATTGAAGACATAAAAATGGCCAGCAATAGATGAAAAGACGCTTCACATCATTAATTATTAGAGAAATGCAAATCAAAACCACTATGTGATGCCTCCTCACTCCCACTAGGATGACTTTTATTAAAAAGTCAAAGATGAAATTGAAGGGGTTGCTCAGTGGTAAAGCATTTGCAAGGCCCTGGGTTGATCCTCAGCACTGAAAAAAGTTAAATTAAAAAATCAAAGATAGCAAATGTTGGCAAAAGTGTGAAGAAAACTGTTAGTGGAAATGTAAATTGGTATAGCTATTTTTGAAAAACAGTATGAAAGTTTCTAAAGAAATTAAAAATATAACTACCCTATGACCCAGCAGCCCTCCTCTGAGCATATACCCAAAGGAAATAAAATCACTACATCTCAAAGAATATCTGCACTCCCATGTTCATTGCTTTACCATTCACAATAGCAAAGATTATACAATATTTTTCATAGAAATAGAAAAATCAATCATAAAATTCACATGGAAACATAAAAGAGCCCTAATAGCCAAAACAATTCTTAGAAAGATAAACAAAGTTAGAAGTACTACACTTCCTGATCTAATATTATATTGCAAAGCTGTAGAATCATTGCCATTCTACACACAATGGAATATTATTCAGTACTAACAAATAATGTGATATTGCTGTTTGCCAAAACATGGATGAAGCTGAGGATGTTAACACTGAATGAAACAAGCTAACCACAGAAAAAAAAATATATTTCATGATATCACTTATATAAGGTGTCTGACCTCATATCTGTTCGAATTCAGGAATATTCAGAGGTGCAATGATTTGATTATGAAAGCTGTAACCTAATCAGTCCATCTTAGTTTGAGTGTACTAACTGGGTAGTAACTATAGGCAGGTAAGCTGGGGCTGAAGGAGGTGGGTCAGCGGAAGCATGCCCTGCAAGGGTTCATTTTCCCTGCATCTATTTCCTCTGGCCCTCTGCCTCCTGGCTGCCAGGAGTTGAATAGCACTTTTCACCATGCCCTTTACCATGATGTTCTGCCTTACCTTAGACCCAGAGTTGGCTGACCATGGAATGAGCCTCTGAAACCACGAGCCAAAGTAAACTTTTCCTTCTCTAAGTTGTTCTTGTCAGGAGTTTGTGTTAGTCAGATGTTTGTCACTGTAAACAACGAGATCATGAAGGTGGTTCTCTAGTGAGAGCTTGAGTGTGTTTTTAAGATGAGGAAGGGTCCTGAACTAGCACCTTTGCTCTGTCTCGACATGCAATGCCCTCAGTCGTGTTTTGATGCAGCAAGAAAGCCCTACTAGATGCTGAGTAGATGCATCATGCTCTTGAACTTCCCAGCCTCCAGAATGGTGAGTTAAATAAACTCCTATTCTTTTAAAATTATCCAGTCTGTGGTATTCAGTTACAGCAATAGAAAATGGACTAAGGCAGTTACTCAAGGGGAAAATTTGAATATTAGAACATCATTTAACTCATTTGTAGTTTAATTTTAAAGACAGCAGAATTGTATGTATGTGCATGTGTGTGTATTTTAATTGTCCTACTAGCAAGTAGATATATACACTGGAATCAATAAGGTTTAAAGTCTTACACTTTAAAAATGTGTATTTTTTTAATCATGGAGAGGTTTTCCAATACATCTTATAGGCAAGTAACAGATCCAAAATGATTTCATTTTTTAAAATATTCTTATCTGCCAAGGAATACTGAGATCCTCAAATTTTTATTTAATTCATTTTCAAATACCACTTTGTTAAAGGTCTCTGTAACAGACTTAAAAGAAAGGTTATAAACTAATTCAAGCTTTACATTATTATATTCTTTCTGCATATTCTTTAAATGAAGAGGAAAGGTCTAGGCATAAGTTGGAATTTTTGTCAACCCAGACACAGTATTAGAGACATATACTTTTTTCATTCCCAGATTTCATCTTCCCTGGATTACTAGGAAATGATAAAGTGAAAGAGATCAAAATGTCAGAAGCAGAAGGAAGGTAAACTGAAGTGATCTACTGACCCCACTGGCCATGATTTACCTAAGAAGTCAGTCACTTTGAGTATCCATGAGTCGAAGACCACTTTGTGTTGTTGAGAATCACCTCCACATAATCTCCTGGCTGAGGCAAATGAGTTAAATCTCAAATGCTAGAAATACAGTATATTGGTCAAACACAATAGATTCAATCTTGACCATCCCTGAGAAACTTTCAGATGAAGAAGCATTTCCAAAGAGAACAATTGTGTAAAAAGGATCTGACAATCTTTCTTACTTATCAATGAATTTTTCAAATAAAACTTATAAGAAATAATTACATTTTCCTACCCCTTAGGCTCATTTGAACTAAAATAAAATTTCAAACATACAACCTGGTAAATAGCACTATATATCCTGCTCATTCAACCTGGGGTTACCAAAACCTTCCTGGTGTCATCATCAAGACAGCTCTGATTCACCTATTATACTGTTATTTTCTCCCAGGAAGACTCAGGCCAAGATGAAATGGGACTAAGGTGCAGCACAGAGAAAAGGAAGAATATGGAAAGCACTGGAAGGCTGGAAGGCTGGGAGTGTGAAATGGGCTAGGCTGAAAGGGAATTTAATAGGAGATCCTGAGCCCAAGAGCAACAAAATGACAAAAGGCTAGGATGGCCTTTTATAAGAAATTGAAAAAAAAAATGGGTAAACGGATCAAAAGCCAACTTCACTTTATCCACCACTCTATCTCCAGCATGTCCCACTCTTCCAGGCTTAGAGCAGCAACTACAGGCAGGTGGGGAGAGGGCCAGGAGTACACAATTATCTATCTGCCTATACCAATGCACCTTCCTTCCCCCATGTTGGCTAACATATTTCCTTAGAAAGCAGAGCACAAACAGAATACCTGTGGGTTGATGAAGAAGTATAAACAGGCAGAGAATAGCAAGGCACCTGTTACACCTCCCTTCTTAGGGGGTCATTTTTGCAGCACTTTCTGGGTTCCTGCAGGCTGTTTCAGCTTTTCATTATGTAAAGGTAACCCTCCCACATCCTGTTACTTCAGAGATGGTGGGGATCTGTACTCAACTATCACAAACTCAAGACCCTGTTGGTGTAGAAACGTCGTTCGCATTAGTTTCTTTGGGGACTGGAGGAGGACCTGGGATAATCGAGGTGGGTGGGTCTAAGCCGTAGGGGACAGCGTAGATAAAGGACTGCAGCTGTAGGCCTACTGCCCGTTTGCCAAGTCATCGTCCACCAGGGAAAGAAGAGCAGAGAATCGGGACGCTATCCCCAGGGGCTGCGCTTGCAGAACCCAGGAACCCAGGAGCTCACCAGGAGGCCCCCTGCTATCCTCCCCGGGACCTGCTTTCTTCCTTCGTCCAGACCTTGAGAGCACACGCCCCAGGCAGAGGCGTTATAATAGCCACCCTTGGACTGCACAGCCCTCGAAACAGAAAACGATTCTCCGGCAGCGGCCACCAGAGGGCACCTGCGGGCGACGCCCTGGGCTGAACCCTGCGAAAAGAAAAATCGTGAGAGGCGGGGCCAGGGGCTGGAGCAGCGGAAAAGCCCATCGCTGCTCTCGGCAGTGCGTCTCGCCCTTTCTTCTCACTTCCGGTCCCACTTCTAAGACTCGCTTCCAGACTGGCTTTCTCTGAGACCGCTAAGAGCCACCCTCTGCTCCCCGCCCGGCACGCTGAAGCCCCCCCGCCCCTCAAGGATGCATTACCTAGTGCCGCGGTCACCGTCACCGTCACAGGCACCCTCAACCCCACCCCCAGCCCGGCCCCGGCCCCTCTCTCTCCCTCACCCGCACCTGTTCGCAAGCTCCCGGGGATCCCAGGTGCGGGCAACCGGGAAATTCCACGCCCCGCGGAGACCCGCCAGCTCTGGGGAGGGGAAAGGGGGACGCGCAATCCAGTGACGCTCCCGGGCAAATATCCCAGGTGTGTTTGAACCTCAGCATGCTCGGCCACTGCTCCCAGGACCCGCGGTCCTGGCCAGTGCACCCCTTTGGTTCCCCCCAAGTTCCAGGGAGGGATACGCGGGTACCCGACCAGTCTGGGAACCCGGAATCCCATATGGAGTCCTATTCATGCTGTACAACTGGGTCTCCGCCTTTTTGCAGTGGGATTCTTGTCCAGAATCCGCGAATCTTCTAGGAGGACAGTTGTTGGTTTTGTTAGAATGAGAAGTTTCCCTGGTTTTTAGAAAGACCACGGGGGTAAAATTCAGCTGAGTGTTCTTGAATAGTTATGATTAAATTTGAAGCAACAACTGAATTTCAGTCGGTTGTCTGCGAAGTAGCAGATTTGTATGGACCTATAGGCCGGCAGTGTAGTATGCAGACTCTTAGAAACATCTTCCACTTTGTGGATTTGTTTTAGTTGAAATTCATTTCCACAGAACTTAAATTGCTATTTCTTACTGATTTGACATCCGAGGATCCACAGACTTTCCTGGATTGCAGCCACGGGTTAAAGGGCTTGGTGGTACAGAACATTTTTCCGGCCCAGTTTCCCAGACCAAATTTGCCCTCTTTTTCTCTTCTAGATTGTGCCTTTCTAGCCAAGAAGTATGGAGGTGATTCATGGCAGGCCCTACTGTTGCAGGGAGTTAGAAAGAGCTGACATTCTCTCAGACACTTTGTTCTCTGATGAACTGCACACTCCGCTACTATCAACCACTCGCCCAACTGCCTCAGAAGACAGGTAAAACAAAAATTAGAAGCAACAACTTTAAAAATGGTTTTAATATATTAGTGTATTTTTTATGCAAAAATAAAAAGTAAAAATTTGTTCTGGGGCTCTTGTGTTTATCACATCATGGAAGGGAAAACTGACCATGTAGTGTCCTTATTTGTTAGGAATTTGGTGAAAGTAAGTTGAAGTGTAATTTGATTCAGACATCAAATTCTTCACTACATTCTAGAACTCTAGAGTGGTCACTTCCATCATTTAAAAATTAATTTTAGTCAAGATTTTTTGTTTTATGAAAAGTATTTGTGGTAGTTCACTTTCATCCTCTAACACCATCTGCTCAAAAATACTCCCAGGATTTGTTGCTCATAGTTACTGTCTGAATATTTGCTTTACAAAATTTCCTATAACATTACTCATTATGATTAAAATCTAACATGGAGTGATTACTGTGTGTCAGCACTGTACTAAATGCTTTATTGCAGTAATTCTTTTAATCCTCATAACTTTATGAGATACATACTATTATCCCCATTTTACATATGAACAGATACAGACAAGTAATTTACCAAGAACTTAGTGTCTGCATTTCCTATATCTGATTTATTTGAATTATTTTGAGAGAGGGGAAAAAAAAAATCTCAAAACACTAGGTGAATAGCCTGTGTGGTCATGTTCCCATTTTGTGATTCAGACTCTTAGAAACATCTTAAACTTTGTGGATTTGTTTCAGCTGAAATTTTTAATTGGCCATATTTCTTATTTAAGAATTATTTTTAGAAACTCAAACAGAAAATCACCTACCCTCAGTTTGAAAATTTCCAAAATAGGACATCACTACCCTGAAAGTAGTTCATTACATTTTTTTTGTTGTTGTTGTTTATTTTATTTTTTTAGTTGTAGTTGGACACAATACCTTTATTTTATTTATTTATTTTTATGTGATGCTGACGATCAAACCCAGGGCCTCGCACATGCTAGGTGAGCACTCTACCACAACCCCAGCCTGCATTACATTTTTTAATGTTCTTGATTATTAGATAATTCTTTCTAATGAGAACATTTTTTTTTCCTTGTAATTTCTACCTGCTGATTCTGGTTCTTCCCTCTGAAGCCATGAAAATAATAAAACTCAGCATCCCCATGCTAGCAACCCTTGAAGAGCCTGAAGACTCTTTTGGCCCCTCTACAGGTTCTTGTTGCCAGATGCAACAGCATTCTCCCAGATTTTGCTCTGCTTGCATTGAGGCTTTCACCTTGATCATACTTAATGGATCTATTCCAGTTTACGGATATACTATTTACATTAAGAAAAAGAAAGGTTTTTCTTTTAATTACAAAGCTAATGTGCTCTTTGCACATAATTTGGAAACCGAAAAAAATCCAGAGAAAACAAATTCTCCATTTATCCAACAGAAAAAATATGAATTAAAGAACAAGGAAGAAAACTTGTATACACCTTTTATCCAGAAACAGTAACCACTGAAATTTATAACTCAATGTTTCTTCTTAATTTTTTAAGTGTAAAGATCATATTCAACAAAATTTTTTGTAAACTGATACTATTAATGAAAAAGAATATTTTTATTTGGAGAGGAAAGGGCTCAGTTCACTTCTATTCTGCATCAGCCCTTGCTGCTCCTATTCTACTGCTGTAATATGATTCATAAGAGTAGCTTTCAGGTCAAAATTCTAGCTTTTTTTCCATTCCAAGGATCATCAGATTAGGGAGAGCTTCCCTTAAGTCAGAGGAAACCTGTAGCAGATCATGTTTGACCTGGGGATAGGCAGTTGTCCCTGACAAAAATAGCAATGTATATTTGGCCAAAAAGAGACGGGTAAGAATTTAGGCTGACTAATTCACTGTGCCTTCAAAAAGCATTCATTAGGCAGGTACAGTGGTGCATGCCTATAATTCCAATGACTTGGGATGCTGAGACAGCAGTATCACAATTTGAAGGCCAGCCTCAGTGACTTAGTGAGGCCCTGAGCAACCAGGTGAGACCCTGTCTCAAATTTTTAAAAAATAAAAAGGGGTTGGGGATATGGCTCAGAGGTTAAGTACCCTTGGGTTCAATCCCCAGTACCAAAAACAAAAGCAAAAGCACTCATCAGTAGCTTTTCACTGAAATATTGATTCCTTTACCTAAGTGGTCTGTGGTTGGGCGATGTTTGACTCCAAAATCCCTTAACTAGTGTAAGATTCAAAAGGAACACATTTGAGAAAATACTGCCTTTCATTAACTGTAAAATTAAATACACATCTGGTCAGCTAGTTATAAACTGCCATAAAAGATTATTTGAAACAATACTTAGATATCAAGCTTGGCTCCTAATAACTAAAACTTACTTTCCCTTTTCATGTGAATTCTTTCCTTTCACAGTCCCCTGATTGAGAAAGCCAGGATGATCATGTGTTCTCAGAACCTATCTTAACTCCCTCTTAAAAAGCAGATAGTTTACATAAGATTCACTTTTCCCTAAATGTTATTCTTCTGAACTTCTCTGGAAAGTATCGTCAGGATAACAGTAGCACCTCCTCCCTATCATTGCTGAGGCTTGCTTCTTCAGAACAAATTCTGGGTCTATGACTCCCAATGCAAACCATAGGGCTTTTTTAAGTGAAACAAAACAAAACAAATCAAAAAGCTCCTGGTTTTTAGGACTGTCCATCCTAATGATAAGGGTGAACCTGAATCACAGCATACATCAGCTCTCAGCAGCTCAATTTCCTAAACACAGGTCAACTTTTTAACCCTTTTAAAATATGAAGTATTTTGAAATAACTTGGCAATTTTAATAGTGATGTAAAATGGTTCTCAAATAAGCCACCTCATTTCCGTTTTTGTACTAGACAACACCATCTAGCTGCATTGTTACCTAGGACTGGTTTGCAGACAAGGGTATATCAAAATCACCTGAGGTGGGGGCTGGGGTTGTGGCTCAATGGTAGAATGCTCGCCTAGCACATTCGAGACGCTGAGTTCAATCCTCAGCAGCACATAAAAATAAATAAATAAAATAAAGGTATTGTGTCCAACTACAACTAAAAAAAAAAATTTTTTTTTAAAAGTCATCTGAGGATCTTTCTGAAAATACTCATCACCAGGCTCCATCTGTATGTAGTCTGACTCACTAGGACTTACAGCAAGGAAGTTCTATATTTTTTTAAAAGTTTTTAGTTCATTTTGTGAATAACTGGGCTAGCAGAAAACACTGGAAACAGAAATAAAACCAAGATTCTATTTGGATTATGTTTCTGGCTTACCCACGATCAAGAGCAAATTAATAATCTTTATACCCAGTACTTCAATTACTTTACTTACTTATATATTTTATAACATTATTGTCACTATTTCATACACCCTCACTTGATCTCTTTTAAGAATATTAAGTACATAAACAGGTAGTATATTATTTTGTATTTCTTTTATTGAAAATTTAACAGCGGCAGTGACAGCTACTCAAAATCATCAGATTCCTATTTCCTTTTTCCATTCACCTGACTTCTTACCTCTTGCAAGTTATCAAATTCATTAGGCAAACAAACATTACTTAAAGAAGTATCTTGATATTTGCTTAGTATTTCATTATTGGTTCTCATTTTGCTTCTGAATTTACTTCATTGCTTTCTGATTCTTTAATATTTTTTATTATTAGCGTTCTAACTGAAAAGGAATGTGTTATGTTTGTCGTTTTCCTTTAATCCTGCCTCCCAATAATTTGTAACTAAATTTAGCCCTTTTGATATGGGATATGGTACTTAAAATTCTATACAATAACTTCAAATGAGACACTGGTTCATCCACATAAAATGCATCTTTCCTCAAAATAAGTATGATACTTAATTTCTATTGGCTATAGATTGCAGCATCAGTAATTTGATCATTATCCTTTTTGTTATGGAGATGTGTTTTGTTTAAACTTTTAAATTATTTTCATCTGAAAACCTCATATTTTAACTTGGTTCCTCCTATATAGTACTTTAAGCATTATAGGGTGGGAGGCCATAAGACCCTAAAATAAAAGAGAAACATGACTAATTTTGCATTGTCCTTTATTTTTAAATGGCTATTTGCAATTTACCACCTTTAGGTGGATGCCAGCTCACATGATTGATTAACATTTTCTACTGGCTTATCCTCTGGGACAGAGTAATATATGGGGGTCAAATGTTGAGAAATGGACTCATTTATGATTTAAATGTAACTTTTACAGAGCTAAATATTAAAGCTTAGTTTGTCATTAATCACATGTATTTAAATATTTTTCACTTGTCATGTCCTCCAAACCATGACTGTTGATCATAGTCAGACCTCAAAGGCCCTATCAGCTCTCTGACAGCTGAATACCAGCATCCCTCTATAGCACCCAAAATTGATAGTCACCAAGACTCTCCTTGACTAACTAGTAGCAGGGGTTGGTAAACTTTTTCTTTAAATAATCAGATATTTTAGAATTTACTATCTCTGGCACAACTACTCTATTCTACCATAACAAGGCAAAAGCAGCTAAACACTGTAGACAATACTTAAAAGAATGGCTGTGGCTGCATTCGGATAAAATAATTATTTACAAAAAACAGGTAGTGGGTTGTATTTAACCTATAGGCCATAGTTGGCCAACCTTTGGTCTAATGACTTCATAAGACAGTACAATCCTGAGTGTTACTTCTTCATTCCATTCAGTACTTTTTATAGGGGGATTACATTAAGCCAAGCACTGTACTGACACAAAGAAAAACATGGCACAGTTTCTGACTCTGAGCTCCCCTTTCGTGTCTCTGACTGGCTCTCCATTGCTCTTATAGTATAGTCCAATATTGCCCTTTTTTCCTCTCATGCTTCACCTCTCACCATAGCTTTTCTCTACTGTGTCCTAATATCCTGAACATAGTCCAAAATTCAACCCTAGTTTCACAGCCCTTCAGATCTGAGTGATTCTCCTGAAAGCCTTGGGGAACTCCTCAAACTTTATTCAAATTCCTAGGATGAGAATGGGGTGGCACTTTAGAATCTTGTCCCATCTGGATTTGGGTTCCTGGTTCCACTTACACTGATCCTATTCAGCAACCTATTGACCCTGGGGCAAAACTTAATTCAGTTTTCTCAAAAATCATTCCTCAGTTTTCTCCGAAGATCTCATCCAAACAGAGCATTTGTGAGCCTGGTAAACTTCACTGAACTGTTGAGGAACAAGTAGATTTTTTATAATATTTGTACTATTACTTTACAGTACTCTCCATTTGAAAAAAAAAATTAAGATGATCTCTAGACAAGACAATGAGGAATTCTTTTCCACAAATGGTGCTGGAACATTGGATTTCGACATGCAAAAGAATAAATTGATTCCTTATCTCATAACCATATATAAAGATTAACTTGTCATCAATCAAAACTCTAAGAAGAAAACAGGGATAAATCATCTTGGATTTGACAATATATTCTTAGCTGTTACACCCAAATCAAGCAAAATGAAACAAATTGAACTGCATGATAATTAAAAACTTTTGTGTTTCCATGATACTATCAAGTAAGCAAAAAGAAATGTATATCACAGAACAGGAGAAAATATTTGCATGTCATATCTAACAGAGATCTGTATCTATGATATATAAAGAACTCTTACAACTCAAAAATAAAGCAAATAACTTGATTTAGAAATACAAAGGATCCAATAAACTTTTCTCCAAAGAAGATATACAAATGGCCAATAGTAACATGAAAAAATTTCAAATATCATTAGTCATTTGGAAAATGCAAATCAAAACCAAAATAATACTTCATACCTATTATTAAAAGGGCTATAATAAAAATTATCTTTTTAAACACAATAACAACTGTTGGCAAGAATGTGGGGAAACTGACTCTCATACAATACTGGTGGAAATTTAAAAATGGAGAAACTGCAATAGAAAACAGTTTGACAGTTCCTTAACAAATTAAACTCAGAATTTCAATATAACTCAGACATTTAGCTTCTTCATATACTCCATGAAAGTTAAAAACAAGTATTCAAACAAAAACTTGGACATGCATATTCACAGTGGCATTGTTCCCAAGAGTCAATTATCCGAAAACTGAACAGCTAAACAAAATGTGGTATATCCATATATTGGAATGTTATGTGGCTATTAAAAAGAACAAAGTACAGACACATGCTACAACATGGATGAACCTTGAAACCATTATATTAAGCACATCAGAGGCCAGGTGCAGTGGCACACACCTGTAATCCCAGCAATTTGGGAGGCTGAGGCAGGAGGATTGCAAATTCAAAGCCAGCCTCAGCAACTTAGTGAGGTCCTCAAAAGAAGAAAAAGGGCTGTAGATGTTGCTCAGTGGTTAAGTACCCCTGAGTTCAATTCAAAGTACCAAAAAAAGAAAAAAAGCCCATCAGAAAAGACTACATATTATATAATTCAATATATCATTCAATTTATATGAAATGTCCAAAATAGGCAAATCTATAGAGCAAGAAACTAGATTAGTAGTTGCTTAGGGCTAGAAGGATAAAAGAGAGGTATAGTGGATGAAGACTTAAGAGTACAGATTTTTTTTAGATGATGAGAATATTCTAAAATTGTACATATCTATCTGTAAATAAACCAAAAATCATTGAATTATATATCCAAAGTTGATTAATTCTATAGCATGTGAGTTATTTCTCAATATTATTTTAGATAAATACACTACCACTGTTTGGTGGCAGGGAGATAACCTGATAGGAATTCAGGAATTTAACCTCAGTTCTTGGGTAGTCCCATGATGCCTAAATACCCAGAAAGTATCATAATATACCCAGTACTGAGAATTCTCTATCTAAAAATACTTAAGAAGAAATGGAAATTTTAATTGTTGCTGAACAATTTCAAGTCTCTTTTATTCTAACAGGTATCAGGAATTAAGGGAGTCACTCCACCAATGTAAGCTTCCATGGGGTGCTGAAAGGGAATACGGTGGGATTATACCGATTTCGCTGCCTGATGAACACAGGCCAAAATATGAACCTCCTCGTGTCATGAGCAAAGGACATCAGCATTATGGATTTGGTGGAGAAACCTGGCCAAGGTAACTAAACTTGTTGCTATTCACATAAAGATTGTTATTATCCATTTTCTCTATTTCTATTGAATCTTTTGTAAACTTAAATATGCCTCCAAACTAATTTCTTTTACTATGAATAAAAAGACACAGATAGTAAAATTAATTATATGATTTCTAATCATGAAATCATAAAAGCCTGTTTATTAAATATTTTAATGTTCTTAGAGATGATAAAGTATTCTAAAAAATTCTGATTAACTTAATTCCCTTACTTATCACATCTTACCTAAAATGAAGTGAAAATATGAGAGAAAAATGGATATTAAACATGTTTTTTGTCTGAACAAAGAATTAGCCTAATTTGTGCAAATGTTCTTGGTTTTTGGAACTTTTGATTTGTAATTTTTTCACCAATCTTTGTAGTCATTAAAATTCTCTGTCAAATGTTTTCAAAAGTATTTATGTATTTCAATAATAACATAAATTTTTAAAGTCACTTTCAGCAACTCTATTCACAGAAGTTAAAACTGAAGACAAAGCAAAAAAAATTGAGCAGGAAATTGAATTTCATATTGAATATTTATTAAAGATTACTTAATTTTAATTATGAAATTCAGAGAATAACCCATCAAACCATGGCACAAAGACTACTTTCTTCTTTTTTATATAACAATACTGATTACCTGGTTTACTAACAGTCTAGCTAGTTTTTTTTTGTTCTATAAAAAGCAAAAGAAGTAAAACAGATAAGACAAGCCATAGCTAGAGAGAGAAACATTAAAAATAGGGACATAGGGGCTGGGGATGTGGCTCAAGCGGTAGCGCGCTCGCCTGGCATGCGTGCGGCCTGGGTTCAATCCTCAGCACCACATACCAACAAAGATGTTGTGTCTGCCGAGAACTAAAAAATAAATATTAAAAAAAAAAAAAGAAAAAAAAAAAAATAGGGACATACATGGCTGATAATCTTATCAAGACCTCAGTAAATCAGTAAAAAGCTGACAGACAAAAAGGCCCAACAGAGAGAGAGAGAGAGAGATTTTTGTCCCTCACCAGGGACAAAAACCCAGACTCGCCCTCAGTGATGCACCTCCTCCAGCCACACTTTACTTGCCTGTAATTACTACCCAGTTAATCTCTCTCAGGTGATTAACGTGTTGATTAGATTAAGACTCTCATAACCCAATCATTTCACCTCTAAATTTTTTTGCATTGTCTCACACATGACCTTTTGGGGCACCTAATATCTACACCATAAAACTCATCATTTATTCATTTATCTATTCAGTAATTTAAGTATAGAAAGTATTGTTTTACAGATTTGGTTATAACTCTTTATGGAGTTTAAGCTATTGTCCTCCAAAATTTGAATATTAAACAATATGCAGTAGTATAAAGAATTAGAAATATTTGCATAGAATTTCAGTGTGTAAAAAGAAGGCCAAAGATTATTTTCTTAACAAGAATCCAGTTTGAAGTGAAAGGTTTGTGTTGGTCTTGCTGAATGCAGCCCCAAGACACTAAAAAAAAAAAAAAAAAAAAAATACTTGTTTCATTTAGAATGCCTATCACCCCTGATTCACAAATGTAGGTTAATGTCTTTCATTCTTTTCATGCCTCTTTATGTCAAATAGTATCATTTTAGCATATTCCTCTCTTAAAAATATATTTACGACAAATTTCTGTCTTCATATATAGGGCTAATTGCTTGGCAAACAACTACAGAATAGGATTTACCTTGTTTCCTAACAAGGAATAACTGCTGTTATCATATTTTTCTTTCTCCCTTAAAAAAACGCCTTTTATACAAAAATAACAATGTTTTACAGCTCTCTTTATGGGTGAAGCCTCAATTTTTAAACCTTTTTTTAAAAAAAAAAAAAAAAAAAAAGGTTTTCTCTAGCAACCACACCCCACCACCTCCTTTGGTAGGAGGTTTTGTGAGAAACAAGATCACTTTTTTGCCTTACCAACTCTCTGCCCTGTGCCTTTGGAAATGAAAAGTACCTACTCCTTTGGAAAAGGTCCAGGAGGTGAGACATCCTAAAGTATGTCATCTGGGGTTAAGAAATTTTTTAAAAAAGCATTACTTACTAAAGAAAATGTAGTTACCTGTGTTTCTATACACATGTTCCAATACAATGTCCATATAATGCCACATGGGGCATTGCTGCCCCTTCCGAGTCTTCCTGACATAAAAGTATCAAAGTAAAACTCCTTTAAAGGAACTTTAGTAATATTTACTTACCTATAATATGCAAGTTTCAGAAATTCCAAGTGAGATCAGTCATCATCCAATTCAGCATCAATTCACTGAAGGAACAAAATCACAAAGTAATGAAAATGTATAACTTAGTGTTCACTTCCATAAACATTGATTTAAGTTTGGTAAAGTAGTAAAATTGTTCATTTTAGAAAAGGAAATTCTTCCTTTAAGTTACTGGTTAAAAGCTCTTAAAATAGAGCTGCAGTGCTCTATGAACTAAAGGATACTCTGAATTTCCTGACAACTTTGATTTTTCTAGTTAAATAATAATACTGAAAGGTATTATGAATGATTTCATAAAGCAAAATTTCTCCTTAATAAAATTTGTACTTGTTTACTCTTTTATCAGCAGCCAGTCACCAATGAAAGTCAAACAACCTATGCCATTCAATTTAATAAGTGGCATATATTGCAAAGTGTTTAGCACCTTTGGCTCTTGACCTGGAAATACTAGTTGCATCCTAAATTCATTGTGACAACCAAAATAAACCACCCCATATATTCCCATATTCTCCTGGAAATGTTGGGGCCCAAAGGGAAACAGTATGATTGTTTGAGAATCATTATACCTAACCCAACTCCTATATTCCAAATGCATATTGAGACAAGGTGAGCCTAAAAACCCCTGCAATTCCCTAGTTTGAAGAGATTAAAAGAGTAGGTTATCCTGTTAGTAAGGGGAAAAATCTTGAGAGAGACAAAGAAGCTGATGGTGACTGGGAAAATCATTGTTCTACATTATTATTCTATTGCAAATCAATAATTTCTGCAATATCTGAATGGATTCAGTGCTCACCAGCATTCCTTTATTTCTTTCATCTTGAAAGGATAGTCATAGGTACTGGCACTGAGGTACATGAAAGGTGCAGTACCTTCTCTACATTTTGCAGTTTCCCACATTTGGAACATCCCCTTGCCCAAGTAAGATCCAGAAATCCACTTCCCAGCCTCCCTAGCATCCAGGGTGCAAATGTGTACACAAAAATTCTACTGATCACCCACATCTGCAGTGGATACTGATTTGCAGGTGAGTAACTATGTTGGATAGATGAGATTCACAGTACCGACTCACTATAAAAATACAGAGTGAGCATTCAGAAGATATGGGGCAACCACAATGACAGGTGAGTACTACAATACGTCTGAAAATATTACAGGTGAGACCAGCCTCTTCCCTCCCTCCTAGAGGGAACCACAGTTACCAATTTGGTGTGTCTCCTTCCATACCTTCTGTTACCTGTTTACATAGTTATGCATGTGCCCACTGAAATTTTATGGTGTTATTTTGTTTATATGTGAAATCATTTGATATGTAGTGTTAAGCAAGTTGATGTTTTTTTCTTTACAATCTAGAGATAGTCCTTTGTCAATAAACACAGATCTACTTTATTATTTTTAATTTTCTCATAATGTTCCACAATGTTTCACAGGTTATTTGACCACTCACATAGTTCTTTGATCATTGCACAAATGTTTCCGTAGGGCATATCTTCAGTGAAAGTTCTGGGTCATAATATAAAATATTCAAAATATGAATTTTTTAATTTAGTAGATGTTTTAGATATCAATCCCTTCTATGTTATTTTTATTTCTTCCAATTTTTGTTTTATTTAAGCTCTTTGTAGTGTCCATTGTCTTATCAATGTGCTTTTGGCTTTTGAAAGAAACATCTTATTTAAAAGGCCCTCTTTACCAGCTTAAAAAAAAATATTCCTATACATTTTCTTTCTTTTTTAAAATTTTTAGTTATAGTTGGACACAATGCCTTTGTTTTATTTATTTACTTTTATGTCGTGCTGAGGGTCGAACCCAGTGCCTCACACATGCTAGATAAGCATTCTGCCACTGAGTTACAGCCCCAGCCCTTTCTTTTTTAATATTTGTATAGATTTATCCTCAATTCTTTAGATTTTTAATCTATCTGAAATTATCTTTTTGAATAATGTAGAGATGTATTATTTTCCAAATGGGTAGTGAGTTTTTCTTGTACTGTTTATTGAAAAATATATACTTTTCAAATAATTTAAAATGCCATCTTTTCATATATTGTTTCTATATATTCATGATTGTATTAATCTACTTATCTTTTCTAGTCTCCCCATTATACTGTGTTAATTTAAAAAGAGATTCAATTTAATATTTTCTTTCTTTTCAGAAAACTTCCTGTTGAACAATACTATTATTTGACACAGAACCAAAAAAGTGACGTCTATGGAAATGATTCCTTGTAAGTCAGAGGTCCCCCTTCCCCTTACATGGGATCAAATAGTAATTTAAGTGGAAATTAGTTATATGAGAAACAAAAAAGCCCCCACATGGGAACTTTTAGAGAATTCTTCCTTTTTATTAAAATAGTGATCATTAACATTAGAAATTTTTAAAAAGCAGCAGCAGATAAACCAAAAGAAAGGATTTGTAGCATTTAAACCAGTAAACAAAGAGTAAGAAATAATGATAGTAATGTTCAAAGAGATTCCTACACATCATCTTAATTCATGTTCTTACCTTGACCTACTTATTCAATATAATAAAAATCTGTTAAATTTTATTTCATTAAAAAAATTTACAGAAAATGCCATAATGGCCCTCAACAAATTTTGAACTGAAACTTCATAATAAAAGAGAATTGTTATGGTTATCTATAAGTAACTCTTTTAAAAATTACTAAGTATCTTTTTTGGATAAGAAATACTAATTTAGTCTGCGCTTAAAGGTATTATGTTCTAGTATATTAAATTATTTTTACTCTTTGAAAAAAAATGGTTTTTCATGTATATTACTAAGTCACGCATTTTTATTTTTTGTAAAATAAGAATAAAATATTGACATACTGAAATGACAATGAAAATATTTTTTTATCTTTATTAAGATTTGTTGGTTGTTTTCAAATTAAGGTGATACAGTATAAAATTTAGCCACTAGAGGGAGCCAAAAAGATAAAATTAGCATTTGCTTATCTCTTTGGGTTTAGTTAACCTTGCAAAGGAGATAATTGAGTACAGCAATAGGATTGAATAACTGGTTGGATCAAGCAAGTGGTGTCTCTGAGCATTTCATTTTATTTTAATTTTATCTTTAAATTTTGAATTTTTAAAAAAGATTTTTTTAAAAAATTCTTTTTTTTTCATTTTGAATCAAATCAATTTTAGTCATACACTTATCAACATCACAGCAAAATTTGTCACATGAGAGCAATTTTAGATGCCAAGTTAATATTTAATATATAGTAGTAAATTGTAACTCTATATACCTTGGATTCATCGTTCATCCCCATCTCCAACCCAACAATATAACTGGAAGAGAGGAAATCACTTTTCTTTTTAGTTCCACACCCACATACTTAAGAGTCCAAATAAAGACATAAACATTTATGATTCATGAGAATTGTGTATTTATAACACATGCTAGAGTAACAAAAGTTCTATGACTTATATATCACTTTGTAGTGAATATGTAGAAACATCTAAAAATTATTCAAGTGTATTCAGTTTTATCAACTTTTACTATCAAATTTATGGCATTCTGTTCATTTTTCATGTCTGAAATCTTTCAGAGTCTTATTTACATAGGATAAAACTAATAGCTGAAATCATGTAAGTGGGTAACTATCCCTCTCTAGTAAAATTTTCCCCAAGGCTATAGTATTATTTCTTGGAAAGCAGTGTTTCAAATAATTAAATACACAACCTTGTAATGAACTAATTTGGAAAGGCAAACTTCCAGGAACTTTGTCAGTTTTGTTCTATCCTTTCATAGCAACATTTACTATCATGAGAGATCAGCAACTCTGGGCAAAGGGACAAAGTATACCCATTATCTACTTATCTTCCCAACAAGGCCACATTTGTGTCACTTCAGGTCATGTAATTGCACCACATATGTGATGTCAGGCTTCTTCGGGGCTCTTTGGCTACCACCTGATTATGAGAGTGAAGGTCAGTAGGAACCAGAGCTTTCTTATCATTAGAAGCTATCCATCAGCCCCTGTATCTTCCTGTAAATAAGAAATGCAAAAGGGGTAGGGATAAGCAAGACTGAAGACTTACTTCATATATTGCCATATGAAGTAAGAATATGTGGAATGGAAAAATTTATCAGTAGATAACTGAGATATGAAAATATATCACTCTATCCTGTCAATATGCACAGTTCCAGAAAGTTAATAAAAATATTATCTTGGTGACAATGTAGTTTGAAAATGGGGCATATCCTTAGTCTTCAGCAATTTTCAAATAATAATAATACAAGCCTTTAAAGGCCCTTAATTTAAATTATGAATTATTTTCTGTTTTTATTCTAGGTTGCCCAAACCATCTAATTCAACAATAAGGTAAGTATAAAACTTATATTTTCCTTCCTTGTTATAATCAGAAAAAATTATTGGCATTTCATACCACTTAGACAGGTGAGAGAAGTGAGACTTTTGATGAAAACTATTTTTTAACAAATGGAAGGAAAGGCTGGTTCAAGTCCAAGGTAACATTATTTTGATTTCTTCCCAATTATATTCCCTACTCCCCCCTGCCCTTGCTGTTTGGTGGTACTGAGGATTAAAGCCATGTGCTAGGCAAGGACTCTACACTGAGCTCCTTCTCCAACCCACAGCCAATCTCATTTTTTAAATAAACTTTTTATTTTAGTATAGTTTTAGAATATAGAATTATAAGGATGTTAATATAGGGAGTTCTTCCCACATATCCTACCCCTGGTTTCCCCTACTATTGCCATATTAATGTGGCACATTTGTCACAATAATGAACCAGTATCAATGCATTAGTTTAACTGAAGTGTGTACTTTATTCAGATTTCCTCAGTTTTTACCTACTGTCCTTTTTCTGTTTCAGGATCCTATTTTAGGATTCCACATTACATTTCATCTTCATGTCTCCTTAGGTGTCTTTTTGTAATAACACTTTCCTAGATTTTCCTTGACCTTGACTATTTTGAGAATTATAGGTCAGATATTTTGTAGAATGCTCCAAAATGGACTTTTAACTCATGTTTTTCTATGATTAGACTGGAGCAATGTGTTTTGGGGAGGAGGACCATGGAGGTAAAGCACCATTTTCATCACTTTCTATGAAGGGTGCATACTGTATACCTGATATATCTCTGCTGATGTTGACCTTGATCACCTGGCTGAGGGAGTGTTTTTTTAGGCTTCCTTACTGTACAGTTAGTCTTTTTTTCCCTCCTTTCCACACTGTTCCCTTAAAAAGAAAGTCACTGTGCACAGAAGACATCTGGAATCAGGCTCTACCTTCCAAGAACAAAGTACCTTCTTAAATTTTTGGTTATTCTTTTCCATTTATTTACTGAACCACTTATTTTCAGTATGGACTTGGGGATATCTTATTTTTTGGTACTTAGGCAGTAATCCAGTACCCCCTTATTTTATTATTCAAATTGGCCATAAGAAGCTCTTCTAATTCTCTTCTGTATTCTTTTGGCATTTCCCTCATCCTTGTGGAGGTTTGGAAGATGTTTTTTCTTTCTTTTTAGCATTTCCTTACTTTCTGGCACTATAAGATACTTCTAAATCATCTTGTATATTTCCTGCTCCACTCCTGGATGAGCCAAAACTCCAAGGAACCCTTGTTCTTTTTATTGGCAACTGGTACAAGAAACCATTTGCAGCCTTCCTTTTTTTTTCCACATTTTTTATTCATTCATCATATTTGTAAATAATGATGAGATTTGTTGTTACATATTCATACATGCATACAATATAATTTAACCAACATCAGTCCCCAACACTTTACCCATCCTTCCTCACGTCTACCCTGCCCCATCCCTTTCCTCTACTGATCTCCCTTTGATTTTCATGAGATTCCCCCCACCTTTCTTTTCGTTTTTTTCTCTCTAGCTTCCACATATGAGAGAAAACATACAACCCTTGACTTCTGGGCTTGATTTATTTTGCTTAACATAATCATCTCTAGTTCTATTTATTTTCCTGCAAATTACATAATATCATAAAACTCCATTATGTGCAGGTACCACATTTTCTTTATCCATTCATCAACTGATGGACACCTAGGTTCCATAGTTTGAGTATTGTGAATTATGCTGGAATAAATAAGAGTATGCATTATCACACAGTAGGATAACTTTAATTCTTTAGGGTAAATAGTGAGGACTGGTATAGCTGGGTCATATGGTGGTTCCATGCCCAGTCTTTTGAGGAACCTCCATATTGATTTCCATAGTGGTTGTACTAATTTACAATTCCACCAACAGTGTAAAAGTGTTTCTTTTCCTCCCCAGCATTTATTATTATTTGTATTCTTCATGACTGCCATATTGACTAGTGTGAGATGAAATCTCAGAAGTTTTGATTTGTATTTCCCTAATTTCTAATGATGCTGAACATTTTTTTCATATGTTTATTGGCCATTTGTCTTTCTTCTTTTGAGATGTGTCTGTTCAATTCATTTGCCCATTTATTAATTGGGTTATTTCATTTTTTGTGTAAAGTTTTTTAAGTACTTTATCTAGTACTATATACAGTCTATATAGACTAAGTGTATATATAGTACTACATATATGTGGTCTATATATAAAGTACTCAAAAAAAACTTTACACAATACAAATCCTCTGTCAGAAGAGTAGCTAGCAAAGATTTTTCTCCCATTCTGTATATCCTCTGTTCATATTCCTAATTATCTCCTTTGCTTTACCAGGAGCTTTTTAAATCAGTGCCATTCAGTTTATTAACTCTTGGCATTATTTCCTGAGCTTTAGGGGTCCTGTTGAGGAAGTTGTTGCCTGTACCTATTTGCTAAGTTTTCTTCTAAGAGTTACATATTTCCTGGTCTAATTCCTAGGTCTTTGATCCATTTTGAGTTGATTTTTGTACAGAGTGAGAGATAAGGTTCTAGTTTTATTCTTCTGCATAGGGATAACCAGTTGTCTCAGCACCATTTGTTAAAAAGGCTGTGTCTTTTCTCCAGTATGTTTTGGGCACCTTTGTCAAGCAAGAATCAAATAACTACAGATGTGCATCAGTTTGTCTCTGTGTCTTCTATTCTGTACTTTTGGTCTATATGTCTATTTTTATGATACCATACGTTTTCATTACAATAGCTCTTAGTATAATTTGAGGTCTGGTATTGTGATGCCTCCTGCTTCATTTTTCTTGTTAAGAACTGCTTTGGCTATTCTAGATCTGTTATTTTTCCAAATGAATTTCACAACTGCTTTTCTAGTTCTGTGAAGAATGTCATTGGTATTTTGATGGGAATTCCATTGAATCTGTACATTGCCTTTGACAGTAGTATGGCTATCTTAATAATATTAATTCTGTCTATCTCTGAATATGGGAGTTCTCTCCATTTTCTGAGGTCTTCTTTAGTTTCTTTCTTTGATGTTCTGTAGTTTTCATTGTAGAGGTCTTTCACCTCCTTGGTTAGATTTGTTCCTAGATACTTTATTTTTTAAGCTATTGTGAATGGAATTATTTTCCTGATTTCTTTCTCAGCAAATTCATTATTCATTGTTAATATATAGGAAAGCTACTGATTTTTGTATGTTGATTTTTGTAATCTGCTCCTTTGCCAAATTTGTTTAATTATCTTTAGGAGGCTTTTGATGGAGTTTTATTGATCTTCTAGGTATAGAATCCAGAAATGGTGATAATGTGACTTCTTCCTTTCCCATTTTTATCCCTTTTATTTCCTTTCCTTGCCTAATTGTTCTGGCTAGGATTTCTAGAACTATATTAAATAGGAGTGGTGAGAGCGGACAATCTTGTCTTATTCCAGATTTTAAATGAAATGCTTTCAGTTTTTCCCCATTTACTAAGATGTTGGCTTTGGGTTTTTCATAAATAGTTTTATACAATGTTGAGGTAGGTTTCTTGTATGCTTTTATCATGAATGAGTGCTGAGTTTTGTCGAAGGCCTTCTCTGCAACTATTGAGATGACCAAGTGATTTCTGTCTTAATTCTATTTATGTGTGAATTACATTTATTGATTTGCATATGTTAAGCCATCCTTTCATCTCTGTAATAAAACCAACTTGGCAGTGTGATGTACAGTCGTCTTAGTAGGTTGTTGAACATGATTGCTAAAGTATTTTTGCTTCTATGTTCATCAGGGATATTGGTCTGTAGTTTACTTTCCTTGATGTGTCCTTATCTGGTTTTGGTATGAGTATGATACAAAAGCCCTTACCAATCTTAACTGAAAATATTAAGCTGATATTGTAAAATTGTGTTTGAGCAAAGAACTACTGAAAAATCTATTAAAATCAAGGTCTAGCTGGGCACAGTGACACATGCCTGTAATCCCAGCAGCTTGGGAAACTGAGGCATAAAGATCGTGAGTTCAAAACCAGCTTCAGCAGCTTAGCAAGGCCCTTAGCAACTCATAAGACCTTGCCTCCAAATAAAACTAAATATAAAAAAGAACTGGGAATTTAGCTCAGTGGTGAAGCATCCCTGGGTTAAACCCCCAGTACTAAGCAAAAAAAAAAAAAAAAGAAATCTAGAAATCGAGATTTAGGTTTTGAGGGGCTTTGTTTTGTTTTTGTTTTTTAAACAACTATGTGAATAAACCTTGTTTTGGACTTTTCTAGTTTTGTTCATAAGAAGTATGAAAAGAAAAGTCCTTTTAGCTGGGCTATAATTATTGGATTCAAGATTCTATTTGTAGCTTGATAAGCTTCAAAGTGGGAGGCTAGAAGTCAAAGATCAAGGTGTTGGCAGGATTGGTTCCTTCTTGGAGCTCTGAAAAAGAACCTGCTCCCTGTTTGGCACCTGGCTTCTGGTGGTTTGCTGGAGTCCTTGGTGTTCCTTGGCTTACAGATGTGTCACCCTAATCTCTCCTTTCATCTTCACATAGCATTCTTGTGTGCTCATCTGAGTCCAAGTTTCCCTTTTCATAAGGACACTAGGCTCACTGGATTAAGAACCCATTCTTCAGTATGATCCCCTTCTTAACTCATTATGTGAGCAACAACCCTATTTCCAAATTAGAACCTACTATAATGCCTTTGGGGTTAGTACTTCAACACATGGATTTCGAGGAGAGATGCAATTCAACCCATAACATTGGTCTTTCTACAAAATTTTTCTACAAAATAACATTTTTCTATTCTGTAACCTTCCTGATCTCAATTTTCTTCTGGTTTAGACAGTGGTTTTTGTTGTTGTTGTTGTTTTTTATTTTCCCTTAACCTCTGTCAGTACTCCAAATAATAGGAAAATTTTCACTGTGGCCTTTTTCTTTTTTTCTTTCAGTGATCTATTTTTGGCTTTTTTATTTCAAAACAGTTTGTGTACATAAATGGGCAGTATATTTTGTTAATCCATTACTTAAAGAAACATCCCTAGGGCTGGGGATGTGGCTCAAGCGGTAGCACGCTCGCCTGGCATGCGTGCGGCCCGGGTTCGATCCTCAGCACCACATACAAACAAAGATGTTGTGTCCGCCAAAAAATAAATAAATATTAAAAAAAAAAAAAGAAACAGATCCCTGGGTTGAAAGTTCAATCCAAGATGAGTGTATTACTGAACTAAATATCCAAAATTATTTCATAAAATAAAGAACATGGATCTTTTAAAACAGGAAACAGAAATTAAAAGCAACTAGAAATTCTTCCTACATCATCTGAAAACTAAAAATATCCACATTTTGCTTATATTATTACCCAGTTATGGAGATTATTCATGATAAAGAATTAAGTATGGTTTATTTTTAAAAATGAAATTTAGTTTTGTCTAGCAAAATTAAGAAAATTTCAAAGGTCTTGGAAGATAGTCTACAGACTGCCAACTCCATGATTATAGGAACTTTATCTGGGTTACTGTCATCCTCAAGGATTAGAACACTATAAGCCGTAACAAAGAGTCCCAATAAATATTTGATGATTAATTTTTTCACTGCACTTCTTTTTCTTCTGTTTTTTTTATTTGCTCAATAAATCTTAGCGAAATCTGCTTACCATATCCAATTGATCACCCTTACCATACACACATCTCTCGTGGAGCCATGTTCCCGACCTTTACGTCACCTAAGGAGCTCTACAATGGTATTAAAGCCTGCACTCACCAGCCATTTGCTCCCACGGTGCCAACCAAGACCTATGATTCAACGATTTTGAAGACAAGAGGTAAAATGTGACTTAAAATTAAAACTATTGATTTTTATTATTATTGGAATTTATTCAATAATAAAATTAAAGCAAGAAGCATGAAGGACTCAAAACACAGACATGTGACCCCTCAGTAGATTAGAAAAGTTTCACCTGACTGTGGATGCATCGTACAATCATCAGGGACCCACTGCAGACCATTAAACCAGACTCTACAGGTACTTCTGATTCTTTTACTTCACAAATGCCTCCCATTGTAGAATCAGAAACCAGAAATATAGAATTGGTTGTCTTCATTCTATGTATGTTTTGTCTTCATTTCCTTCCTACTCTTATGGTTTAGCTTTAAAAAATTCCATCCTAGCCAAGCACAGTGGCGCACATTTGTAATCAAGCAGCTCCAGAGGCTGAGGAGGATTGAGAGTTCAAAACCAGCCTCAGTAAAAGCGAGACACTAAGCAACTCAGTGAGACCCTGTCTCTAAATGCAGTACAATATAGGGCTGAGGATTTAGCTCAGTGATTGAGTGCCCCTGAGTTCAATCCCCAGTAGCAAAGAAAAAAAAAATCCTGTTCTAGCTTAGATGATGAGCATAAGGGGCAAGGCAGAAGCAGTGATTAAATTGAAAGCTTAACATTTGAACTAAGACTCAGACACTAATTTATTCACATTCTCTTGACACCCTGGAGCATCTTTGTGGATGTATTTTATTAGAGAGGGCAGTAATCCTCTGGGACCCATCCTAGAGTCTCACCCACCCTAGACTCCTCAGTCTTTGCTGAGGAGATATACACATGCATGAAAGCAGATGACACCTCTGAATGTCTGAAAGATGCTAAAGAGAGGATAATAACAGAAAAGGCATGTAGTAGGAAAAATAAATACTTGTTGAGTTAATAATTTATGCTGTGGAGTAGATAAAACTCAAGAATTGTCCTATAACATTAATTGTCTTCTGTACATGAATATATTTGTACCAAAGTGCAAGGATCATCAATAACAACCTCAGCACCTTGTTAGCAGACAGGTATGTTTTGGGTTTTGAAAAAGTGTGTAGCAGAGGACTTAAGAGCAGACTTTTCTTTTCTCTCCATACTAAGGGTTGAACCCAGAACCTTACACATGCTAGGCAAGTACTCTACCACTGAACTGCACTCCCAGTCCAGAGGCAAGGACTCTGGAGTCAGAGTATAGGCATAAAATTCTACCCTTACTATTTACTGTGGACTATAGTGGTGTTTGTTAACTTCCGTCTTCACTTCTCAATCTCTAAAATGGGAGTATTAGTGCCAACTTCATAGACAACAAAGATAAGTGTTAACAGTTTGTTTGCTTTCATATAGTGACTCCAGTGTGTGTTCACCATGATGAAATTTTACATTACCTCTCAGACCAGTCAGTATTGATAAGAGGCAGTGCAAACTGATTCTTCTTAAACATTTGTCTGTTTGGTGCTGAGGCTATGCTTAGTTATATTGGGAGAGGGAGATGAGTGAGTGCTGTGCAAAGAAACCCAAGATATGTATCTAAACAACTGAAAGTTTATAATTGTGTTAGGGAAACTATCAAAATTAATTCATTATTTTCAGTCCTTAATTAGATAATTTCTGAAGTTATATTTAGTACATAGTTAGCAAGAAGTCACAGAAATATGTGTTGAACTCATAAAAACACCTTTTAGGGACTAAAGAAACAAGTTGCCTTCTTCATTTTCTGCTCTTCCAAGCATCTACCTCTTTCTGACCAGTCACTCACTCTTAGGGGCTTTAAGATGAATCTGTTAATAAGTATAAAAAGATCTTTCCATGAACTAGTACTATATTGGGTTTCTAATCTTCCACTTATTTTAACCTTTTATTATAAATAAATAGTATGTAGGGTAAGAGTACATGCTCTAGAATCAGATTGCCTGAGTTTGAATTCCATCTACTAGTGCTATGAACTTGCATACATTGCTTATTCTATCTGTGCCTCAGTTTCTTTATTCACTGACATGGGAATAATAGTATCTTTCTCATAATAATTTTATGAGAAATGCATGTGATGGTATATTAAAAACAGTACAGTGGCTGGTGCTTTGGAAGTGTTCAATAAATGCCAGCCTTTGTTCTTGTTATATATTAGAATGGAGCTGGGAATGGTGGTGCATGTCTATAACTCCAGCTATTCAGGAAGATGAGGCAAGAGGATCACAAGGTCATGGCCAGCCTGGGCAAATTAGACCCTGCTCAAAATAATATGGGCTGGGGATGTAGCTCAGTGATAGACTGCTTGCCTAGCATGTACAAGGCCCTGGGCTCAATCTCCAGTACCATAAGGAAAAAATAATAATAATGGGTATTCAAAATATTTTTTAGCTTGAAATTTAAAATGAGAACAGAGGCAGCCATGCTGTGTTTGGTAATGCTTATTAAATACAAAACAAGACCTAAGAAGCTGTATTCTTTAAAATGTTCTTTTACTACCTTTTTGCTAAGCACGTACAATTCCATTAAAAATAATAATAATAAACTTTCTATATTTGGGTAAAGAAGAGCCAAAACAGATAGTAAAGAAATTTATCTGTTGAGCCTCCAGACACCAGAAAGAAGATCCAGGAAGATTTATTATGTACCTAAGGATTTTGCTTGTTAAGTATAAGTGCCCTCTATCACTGCTGAGAACACTAAGATTAGAGACTCATTCTCACTCTGGTCCACATGCTGCCCATATAAAGGCTCAAGAATTAAAGGGTAGGCTGCATCTTGAAAGTTATAAGAAGGGGCTAAGAGTGTAGCCCTTAGTATATGCAAGGCCTTGAGTTCAATCCCCAGCACCAATATTTTTAAAAGTTATACTATATAGCTATAATATACACCAGAATTCATCTCTAATCTATATTGTTTCTATTTATTTCCTCCATAAACCCATTAGTTAAAAGGCTGTTCTTAATTATTCAGGATAACAGTGCTTTTCTTGAAAATTTCAGGTAATCCTTATAGATACGAACTGCTTGATTTTCCCACGGATTCAAAGAAGAAATCATTGGCGTGGCCAGGTCAGGATGTGTATTATGATGTAAGTTATCTTTCAAAATGTGTGTTTTAAGAGAAAGTACAGGGCTGGGGATGTGGCTCAAGCGGTAGCACGCTCGCCTGGCATGCGTGCAGCCCGGGTTCGATCCTCAGCACCACATACAAACAAAGATGTTGTGTCCGCCAAAAACTAAAAAAAAATATTAAAAAAATTCTATCTCTCTCTCTCTCCTTCTCTCTCTCTCTTTAAAAAAAAAAGAGAAAGTACAATATATTTTTACCCAATAGTTTCTAAAACTCAAAAAGACAGATTGTTTTATTTTCTATTTAGGTGAAACTTTTGAGATTTTTGACTATGGTTCACATTTTTCAGTTTTATTAGCTGATTTCACATACTTTGGTTAGTTAATGGAACATTTCCACAGTTATAAAACAAAAAAGTTCCCCTCAGAAAGATGGTAGGGAAGAACTGTTTCACAGCCTTAATCCTGTTTTTAAATTCTTATAATTCATAATGTATCAAGTTATTCCAAATATGCATAGAGTAAATGAGAGACTTTCAGAAAGATTTATGAGTTGTCGTTGTCCCCATCATTATTAGTGCATTTATATTAAGTCTAAAACAAAATAAAACTAAAACAAGAGCTGCCATTTATTGAGAAATTGCTATACATTAAGTAATTTAGATGTACTTTAATTCTTATAAAAATCTCATAAAATTAATATTATCAAGTCCATTTTATAGATAAGGAAACTGAGGCTCAGTTTGAGACAAGGTCATGATCACAGAAGTCAGGTTTGTAATCTATGCTGTTAACTTCTGTTCCTTAACTGGCTTCACCCACATCCGTTAGATAATTCCTCTGAGAAAGTAACCCATAGCAAGAATGCCTGTTCAAAGACTTGTAACTCATATTTGTGAGCTAATAGTCTTCTCTCTCCTCCTATTTCATCCTATGCCCCAAGGGAAGAGAAAAGACACAAATAACCTGATAAACAGGTCCTAACATGTGTCACCTAGCTGCAAAAGAGAAAACTCTAGAAACTGTACTTTAGTATTTTTTCCATCCAAGCCAATAAAAAAAATATGTATAATGTATTAGTAGAGTGTGAATTTTAAAGAGGCTCAGCTCATGGCTCTACCTTATCAGCTCTGTGACCTGGGTAATATACTTAATCCTTTAGTACCTCAATTTCCTAACAGATAAAATAGGAATGATAATAAAACTAACTGTTGTCCTGAAAATGAAATTCATATAAAAGTACCTAGCACCATATTAATACTAGCTCATAATAAATTTTAACTGCTATCAGCATTATTATTCCAATGATTATAAAACTTGGTTGACCTAGCAACATTAAGAAACAGATAACTTTGGAAAGAAGAATGTTCTAAATAATAAATAAGATGGCTTATAATAAATAAGATGGCTTAACCTTTTAAAATTTAAGTACTAGAGCTTAATTTTTATTTATTTAATGCTTTTATTAGTGCATTATGATTATATGTAATAATAATAGTTACACTATGATTATATGTAACCCTACTATTACATATAATCATAATGCACTAATGAGTTACTATCCTCATTTCTGGGGTATTTGTCTTTCCAGAGAGTCCCCATAATCCAAACTCATTCTCAGCTGGACATAATGAATTTGGTGAGCATGCATGCACCTCCTTCGGAAACGTCTCATCTTATCAAATCATGAGATGTCCACAAGTGTACCTCTCCATTCCCTCCACCACTCTAGTCTCTACATCTCACCTGCTCAGCCCCAGCAACATCCATGGTATCCAGAATGAGAAAAAACATGGCACCCTCACTGTGTCCCCATCAACCATGCTCCCCATCTTCTATCTTGCACCTCCATATTTCCACCATTCCATCTCAGGCAGTACTCTTCCCTAACTGCATGGTTTTCTGTTATTTTAATGGTGATATGTGGAGTTTTGGAGATGACACAAAGACATTGGAACCTTGTACATAGTTTTGCATCTAATACTTAATAAACATTTAATGAATAACTAAGTTAAAAGCTACATATATTTCACAGGCTATGCTAGAAATGTAACCACAATTTGAATAGTTATATTCCTGTAATTCATATTCAAATTCATATCCTCTAATTCCATATTCAAAACAATTAACTCCTTTTTATAGACTGGAAAGCCTAGAAACTCAAATGTCAGGAATTAGAATTCCTTCCTTGTATTTACCTCCATATCAGAAACAAACTCTGCCCTCAGATTGGTGTACTTAACCAATGAATATCTATTGGGTGAATGACTGCTACCAGCTCCTCTCTCATTACCCTCTCTGAATAAAATCACCTTCACATTTTAAATATTGACCAGCTCCTCACCCTCATGTGTTTCCTGGCTCTTAAACTATGACCAAAATACTACAGGCTGAAGTTCACATTTCCCATTTTCTTTTCTGAGCCCTAGACTGCATTTCAATAGATCACTGCTATTATTTCAACCAGTATAAGACATAAGATTAATCTAGCCCCTTAGAACAATTTTGGAAAAATTTCCTTCTTATTTGCAAGTAAGCTAGCACAGCAAATAACGAAAAAGATAAAGAGAACAAAGAAGGCATTCTTTAACCCTGAAAAAACAAAGTCACATTTTGGTTAAAGGTTTAATAGAGGTAGGCATTTCATAATTCTTGAGGCAACTTTCAGGTACCTTTTCCCATGAGTACTCTACTATGTAAAATGGGGATCACTTCAACCTTACAGAGTTGTAGCAGCAGCAACACGTTTAGGATCTAGAAAGTTAGAGAGCTCCACACCTCAGGGGGCCTGACTCTGGCCCTTCTCTAGCTGTGCATTTCCCTAGGAAACAGGGAGTCTATATGGGGCCAAGAGGATATGTCCAGGGGAGCCCATGCTCCTCTGACCCACTCCAGAACATGTTCTTGAACCACAAAATTCCCTGACCAAATGGCTTTGAACCCAGTCCCAGGTCCTCCTGAGGACTCTTCCTCCCAAGGAGGAAGGACTAATCCTCCCAAGGGTTAACAGTGTTCCTGAGCTAGTATATTCATCAAGACCAAAGGGGTAATCAGAGATGGCTGTTGACTGGAAGTAGGAATGATTGGAGGATGGAGCCAGTAGAAAAGAGCAGTGAGGGGTGCTGAGGCCAGAAGCAGCAGTTGGCTCTTCCTGAGTCGCCATTTAGTGATATAAATTAGAACCTGGTTTTCCAGGTTGTTATAAAGGTATTCTGTCTGAGCAAAAGAATGAAACATATTTTATTATCAGCTTACTTGCTGACTTAAACTATTTAGACAAATGTAATATGGACTTCCAATTGTACTTCAGCTCCAGGTTCTGCAAATGTTAAAGGAGGGCTTGGCTGTAGGATACAGCCATCTATACCTCTGCTCCCACTGTTTCAATTCTAAATTGTCATTCAAAGTTCAGTTTTTGTGGTATGACAGAAGGGCTCCAGTTTTTGTGGTATGACAGAAGGGCTCCTCCTTCCCATCCCACTCCCGACCCTGCTTCTTGATTCAGCTGGAATCAATCTCTCCCTTCTCTGAACTTCAAAATCATTTTGTTTTAATTTCTTTTATAGCAAAGAGCTACTTACACTCATTTGTGTTCATACCTTATATCCTCTACTAGCCAATATACTCATGGATGGCTGGATTTATTTTTGACCTGTCCTTATTTCCTGCCACTATTGTGTACACATAGGTGCTCAATAAATATTAACAAAGTATCATCAATCTAAGAAAAGATGAATTTCTAAGTAACCAGAAAGACTTCAATGAAACTCATTCAATCATGTTTACATGCATACCTCTTTTAAAAAATACAAAAACTCATGTGTCTGAAGAATTAAAATTGTATTTGCATTTGAGTGACTTAACCTTCTCAAAAAGTCATAAAAGTTATCTTATGGTTTCATGTCAGGCAGGGAAGGAAAAATAGAAGCCACACAATTTTGGCTAATCTCAGCCAAAAGAGTACCTTAGAACCTTTTGTATCTCTAACAGATTTCATTGGCTGTAGAATATCCAGGAGCATTTCTCTAATATAAGTTCTCAGAAGCTTTTAGAAAAGACCTTATCATTTTGTTAAAAAAAAACTCTCAATTATGGTGAATATAAGGAAAAAGCCACCATATACCTAGCTTGAGAATTAGTAATTCATGAATTTTTTAAAAGCATCTAGCTTCATCCTAGAATTTCCTTTGTCCCTTTCCTGCAGAAATAGTGAGTCCATCCTTACTCTACTAGATGACAATAACAGCAATAATCTTTATGTTCATATTCTAGATTCCTAAATGTGCAGAGAAAAATAAGCCAACATTCTACCCAAAACCACCTAAAACTTTCGCTCCCAACACTTCTTTAAATACATGGGATGTTCTTAAGTCCATAAAAGAAGCCAACATACGAAGAAATCTTGAAAGGTCCCATTGGATCTCTTCATACAATCATGATTTTACAGGTATGAGTCACATTAATACAAGTAAAAAATGAGAACAAAATTGGGATACTCAACAAATGCTATTACACATTTTCATCTTCTTATATTTCCTGTTTCTCAATATAAGCACTAATATTAATTAAGAGGGGTGGTAAGTTTCTTTTAACGGGTAGCTGGGAGAGGTAGGACTGGTTTCCATTTGATTGGTTCTAATTATATTATTAAGGAGATGGGATGTATCTATGTAGGGTAATTTAATTATCATTCTTCGTTTACTCTACCAAAATAATAAGATAGTGTTTCCACTAAGGTCTGGGACCCATGAACCCCCTTGAACTGGATGATTACCACGAAAAGGAGGTAGCAGAATTAACTGGACAGAAAGGATTTGACGCACAGCCTGTAAGTAATTGCAGTCAACTCTGTTATTTAAAGGGAGAATATCCAGTGTTGATATCCTTCCTGCTTTGCCCACTTTTTATATCTGTCATGAGTACTGGTGCCCAACCTAGCAAAGAGAAAATTTAATTTTAGAAGTTAATTCTGAACTGTTTGAAACTGATTTGAACACCCTTTTGTACTCTTTGGAAAAACAAAGTTTCTTTTCTTAGCAGTGCTATTTTTTAACAGATTTTCTACTATGCTACTATTGGCTTAAAAAAGAATAGAGCCTAGCTAGTAATTCAATGAGATTCTTAATAAATTGGATCTTTGCACATTTGTATATCTTGTACATTATCATTGCTTTTAAAGAGATTAAAAACTTCTTCATGATATTCACAATAATTGAGAATTGGCTGAATTACAATCAAAAACCAATAAATTCTCTGCCTATATCAATAGAGACTTCTTAGTTGATTATGTGAAATGGCCTGGAAGAAATGATCAAGCCCTTTCATAACAGAAGGTATAATCTGTTGATTTTATTACATAAATAAAGTGAAATTACTTATTAGTATGCATATATGTGGTTTTATTTTAGAACTTAATTTTTCCCCTCTGGCTACAAATTTTAAAAACAAAATGTTATCAAACATGTCAACTATGGAAGACACATAAAAGATGACTGAGATGCACATATTCAAGTTACATTAGCTTCAGCATTTACCACAGTGATGTAAAATCATAACACCAGAAATAGGTCTATACACTGTTTTATCATTCACCAAATGGTTTTTAATTGTCTTGATTTTTCTCTTGTGATGTGGATTCTCTGTGGCTAGAAAATATACATATTCTCTGACACTATCAGGTGTGTTCAACAACTGTCCATATTTCCACATGACCCTGTAGGGTTTAGCCCCTCAACAAGCAACTTTATCATTTTTACAGAGAAACACTTGTACACAAAGGATGTTTGTGAAGTATATTGAGCACAAAATGTGCAGATAAATCATAACAAGATAAAATATACATAAAATCATTTGAAGTTTAAAACAGTTTCAGTGAAAATTGCTGGCTTATGACTGAATGTAAACAGTAGACTCTGGGAAAGCTTGTTTTAGATACAGATATGAACTTTTTTTGTATAGAATAAAATATTGGTAATAAAAACTGCTTGTGCATAAGGGATACTTAGTCAGTTTCATATAAGCCCTATCCTGCTTTTAATGACAAATTTAACAAAGCATGTAGAGCTGGAATTTTTCCTTTCTTCATACTCAAGCTGGGCACAGTAGCACAAGCCTGTAATCCCAACAGCTCGGGAGGCTGAGGCAGGAATACTGTGAGTTCAAAGCCAGCCTCAGCAAAAGGTGAGGCGCTAAGCAACTCAGTGAGACCCTATCTCCAAAGAAAAATACAAAATAGGGCTGGGAATGTGGCTCAGTGGTCAAATGCTCCTGTGTTCAATCCCCCTGTCCCCCTAAAATACCACAGTATATTTACTCAAAGTTGGTCAGCTAAAAGTTAAAAAAAAAAAAAAAAAAAAGTTAGTGACTCAGTATGACAATTCCTCCAACTATAAGCATATTTGTTTCAAAAGCCCATTCTTTAAGTCCAAGATACAGTTATTATTTTCTCAACATTCTCATTCTATTCTCTCTCCTATCAATTCCATCATCATACATAGTCTTTATTTTTTTAAATATTTTTTTAGTTGTACATGGACAGACTATTTTTATGTGGTATTGAGGATCGAACCCAGTGCCTCACTCATGTGAGGCAAGTGCTCTACCACTGAGCTACAACCCCAGCCCTACAGTCTTTATTTTTTTCATTACTATAAAATTTTTTCAACCATACAGAAAAGTTTAATAATTTTAGTTAATATCCATATACTTACTATGCAAATTCTATCATTAATACTTTAGTATACTTGTTCTATCACAATTTAATTTACCCACCTTTCCATACCTCTAGCCATCCAGCAATGTACTTTATTATTTTTAACATGCTTTTACAGACATTAGTATACTTTACAGATATTAGTATACTTTACTCCTAAACATTTGACAGGCAGATCATTAACCAGATTTCAGTATTTGTTTGCAGTTTTTTTCTTTGAAAGTGAAATATATGTTAGTTGAAATTGCACCAATCTAGATTACACATTTACTGAGTTATGACAATTGCATATACCTTTGTAATCCAAGCTCCTATCATAATATAGAAAACTATCATCATTCCAGAAAATTCCTTCATGTCCTTCCCAGTCAACTCTTCCTTCTTCCTGCCACCCGACACATCTCTATTAATGTCACTTAGAATATACTCCCTACTTTTGAAGTTACTAGTCATGACTGAGTTCATAATATTTATAACACATCTCAAAAAGAATCATAGACTTTTTAACACATTTCAAAAATAAGCACAGATAGACTGGGGTGTACAGTGACAAAGCATGGATAAGGGGGCTGGGGATGTGGCTCAAGCGGTAGCGTGCTCGCCTGGCATGCGTGCGGCCCGGGTTCCATCCTCAGCATCACATACAAACAAAGATGTTGTGTCCGCCAAATACTAAAAAATAAATATTAAAATTCTCTCTCTCTCTCTCCCTCTCTCTCTCTTTCTTAAAAAAAAAAAAAAAAAAAAAAAGCATGGATAAGATGCTGGGTTCAAACCCGCAGCATCAATAAATAAATAAATAAGCAAGCACAATCATAACACCTCAGACCAGTGCTTCTCAAAGCACAACAGAGATGCTTGTTAAAAATGCAGGTTCATGGGCTGGGTGTTTAGCTCAATAGTAGAGCATGTGCTTAACATGTCTAAGGCCCCTAAGTTCAATCCCCAGTACTTCCTCCGCAAAAAATTCAGATTCCTAAGTCCCACTGTAGATCTTCTGAATTACAATTTTAAAAGGTCCAGGTTAGGAATTTCATTTTCTGCCATCTTTGAAGGGCAGAATGGGCTCTTTCTCGTCCAGCGAGGAGGTCCACGGAACAGGGTAGAGGAGAGTATAGCTGCAGAGTGGCTATTCAAGACCTCCAGAGACCAAGCAGGAAGCAGGTCTGATTTTATTGCACAGTTACCACGTATATGTACTCAGGCAGTGGCTAAGCAGATTACAGGCTGCCACCAATTCAATTTCTGCTAACTGTCCTTGCAGTGACCAGTTGAGGAATGAGCCATAGAGCAAGCACAGGGAGTGCAAATACATGGTCTTGTGCCCAGGGCTGTGATACGGGGTAAGCAGCCTGCCGCTCACATGCCTAGCACAAGGGGAGTGGCCTGTCACTCAGATGCCCTTAAAGTATGCCATGTATGCAGTACTCCAGGCACTTGTCCCCACAGTTTTATTTAGAGACAGGGTCTCACTTAGTTACTTAGTGCCTCACTGTTGCTGAGGCTGGCTTTGAACTAACTATCCTCCTGCCTTAGCCTCCGAAGCCACTAGGATTACAGGTGTGTGCAACTTTGGCTTCAATGCCATTTTTTCTTGAGAAAAAGGAAAAAGAAGTTTTATTCCTTTGCAGATATCTTTAAATATATCTTAAAATTTTTTGCAATGTGCACTCCTACACCTATCTCACTTTTACACAATAGAAATTGGAATGAGTGTTCACCTGCCACTTATTAATATTTATCAAGCAATTAATTTTCTTCTTTCTCTTCCATCACTACAGCAAGAAAAATTCCACTCTATTTTAAAACCCTCCAGACCCTTGGAAGGGCGAATCGCCCGACTTACTCAGAATCGACGTCCTCTGGAGGCTATTATTCAGCAAAGTCCACGTTCCTGTCCAGATTGTACCCCTAATGTTTTGTGTACTTTTCATACCTTTATACCCAGTTCTGTAGAAATGATGGCACTAAGTGATAATATACCAGCTGGCGTGACCCATAAAAACCAGGATATTGAAGAGAAGATCAAGGAAGAACAAAGCTTACTATCTAACTACTCACTCAAACCTTCTTACTCAACAAAGGATCTGACTAGCATTTATGACATAAAATCATTTCCAAAAATCACAGATACTAAAAAGACAGAAGATTTGTACTGGAGACAGCTGTCATCAAAACCCCGACCTATATCTTACTGTAAATCAAGCGAATACATTCCCTATGAACGCTCTAAATCTACCCTACACAATCCATATAATATAAGTAGAAACCGGGTTAGCTTTGCTAAACCTAGTCTTTTACAAACCAAACCAGACATGGAAATAATCAATTTAGAACGTAAATATTTAGGTAAGCCAGAAGAACAGCTGGGCTTGAACATGGAAAAAAACGAAGAAATAAGATCTACTCTGGGTTGGATTCCTAAAGCTGGAGTGACCAAGCCTCAGACCAACCTTCTGGATCTTAAAAACTCTTTCTCAAAAACTGGTGCACAAAAACGTTTCTATAAATCAATTCTAGATGACCATAAAGACCTTAGGGATAAGGTGAATTCAGGGATGAAACACCAATTCTATGGCCATAATTCCTATGATTTCTATAATTGAGGTATTCCTTCTTCCCTTCAAAACCCAGCCTCTTGCAAGAAAAAAAATATTACAGAAATTCCTTCATTTTGCTGGCATATGTTTCTAGAGTAAGCCATAATGACCTCATTAAGGAGGTTTATGTTTTCAGGAATTTAAGTTAGGACCTAGTCAGAGGAACCAAGAAAAGGTGATGTTTGATGTCTTGAAAAGTTTGAGTAATTTGGCAATAAAACATTACTACCAGAAAAATGTATACTGCAGCCTCATCTTCAAATTATACTCTAAAGTTTTCCAAAATTTCATGGAAAGCAATGTGTACAACAAAGTTTACATCATCGTTTTACAGAAAGTGCAAATTTGAAAAAACTCAAATTCTCAAGAATTGAGAAATGATTATACAATCTGTTGTACCTTAATAAAATAAATGTGAATCCTGTCCTTTTATGTAAATGTTTGCACAAAATACTTTTTCCAGTTCCACCAGAGGAACTGGTATCTATGGCAGTTGTAGCTTTATAAAATGTATTTCCTAAGTCTTAAAAGTTGAAATTACTCTTTGATCAATGGACTGCAGAATGGATGTTATGTATGCCAGCATAAAAACATTACCCTTATTGTACATCTCCATCAGAGCTCTTAGGTAAGCAGGTACATTTTTAATAAGGAGTAATTTTTTGAAAGAAAAAAATTTTTGAACAATTAAGTCTCAATAGTGGGCTTAAAATATTCACTAAACCATCTTGTAAACACATGCTGTCATCCAGGCTTCGCTGTTCCTCTCAGAGAGCACAGTTGATTTAGTATAATTCTAAAGGACTCTAGGATTTTTGGAATAGCAAATGAGTATATGCTTCAACTTAAAATCACCAGCTGTATTTTCTCCCCTACCAAAAGAGTTGTCCTGTCTTGAAGCTTTGAAGCCAGGCATTGATTTCTCCCAACTATTAAAGTCCTAGATAGCCTCACCTTCCAATGTAAGAATGTTTCATCTACTCTGGAAAGCAGTTGTTTATTGTAGACAGCTTAATCAAGTAATTTACTAGAAGTTCTAAATGACTTGCTTCTACATCAGCACTTGCTACTTCACTTTGCAATTTTATTTTATGAAGATGGCTTATTTCCTTAAACCTCATGAACCAACTTCTTTTAATTTCAAATTTTCTTCTGCACCTTTCTCATCTCTCTTATCCTTAACAAAAAAAGAGAGTTAGGGCTTTCATCTGGATTAGGCTTTGGCTTAAGGGAATGTTATGGCTGGTTTGATCTTCTATCCAGACCACTACAACTTTCTCCACATCCGCAATAAGATAAAAAACCATTTGGTTAAATCAAAGTAGAAGTAGATAGAATTCAGGAAATTAATCAGAAACTGGGGGCTGAATTTGAGGGACTTAGAAGTCAAAACGTGACGTCCCAGTGACAGAAATGCATGTCAGGAAAGGGAGCTAGGTTTGAAGTGTAACTCGAAGCAGTGATAATAAAACCTGCATTACTAATATGACCAGAAGGGATGCAATCCTTTAGACTTCCCAGAACACTCTAAATCACCTAAAATCGTGTTTCTTTCTAAATGCTTGCCTGCACACCCGTCTGCACAGAGACGCGAAGGGAAGGAGGAGACTTTAGAAGAAAAAGAAGCGGCAGGCACGGGGCCAGAGTGATCACCCGCAACTGCAGCACCTTCCCCAGTCTTGGGAGTGAAGGCAAAAAAAGAAAATGGTCACAAGCTCCTGTCAAATAACTCCTGGTTCCTTGTTCATGGTATCCATCGAGGTGCTGCTGGCACCAGCGGTGGAAATACGACCCAGCCTGGGTAAAGGTCGCCAGCTGACCAGATGGTAGACCTTTAAGTGTGTCAAAGTTAGGGCGACTCCCTCTGGACGGAGATCGAACGATCCCCTCAAAGATATTACAACCTTGCTCTGGAGAATTGATACCTTAGCCGTTTAACTTCCTCAAGCCAAAAGTCTCCCGCTCCACCCTCCACGCCAGCACACGCAGGCGCGCAGAGGCTGGGAGTGACGTCAGCCCCTCCCGGCACCGCCTCGAAGTCCAACATCTCAGGCCTATCGTAAGAGCCGGACAGGAAAGGCCTGGAGAAAAAGGGCATCCACGCGACACATCCTACCCTGCTAGCTGGTAAGCGCGCGCACGTTGCTGACTGACCCTGGACGCCATAGCCAATGAGGCTCCGTAACGTCACCGCGTATGAGCCGGCTCGGCCTCACGTCAGGCCGCGGGGAGATGGAGCGAGTGCGGTTGCACTGACACCGGTACATAGGCGCAGACCGGCGTGTCCTTGGGCTAGAGAGTGGGACGTCCGGCTTCTGATCGGGATCCTTCTTTGCTTCTTTGCGCTAGCCACGAAAGAAAGGTGAGCACGAGGCGTAGAAACTGCAGCAGGTGGGAGAAAAAGCTGTGAGAGGCGCGCACAAGCGTGGGAGCACGCGGGCGGACGCGAAGCCGATGCCAGGGTCTCGGAATGGAGCTAGCGCGGGGTCGGCTGGGCTGGGACTGGGCAACCAACACTGGATGTCTTGAGATGGAGCAGAACCGTAACTAGGTAGAAGTCTGGACCCGGTGGAGAATTGGAGGTGGTTTGGATGCCGATTCGAAAAAGATGCGGTCCCCGGGTTGCCATTGCCCAGGGCCTGTGGAAGTGATCGGCAACAATTCCTCCCGGAGGGCAGGAGCGTTGGCAACGCTTCAGGTTCTCCTTCAGAGAGCCAAAGCTGCCGCTCTTATGCCAAGGAGTCAATTTTTTTCCCCCTGGGCCATGTGTCATTCCTCCTGTTAAGCGTTCGGACATCTCAAAAGGATGTTGCAGCAGTCTCCTTGAAACTGATCTGAGTGACCTCGTGGTCACCCTCTGGATCTCAGAGGTGGAGGTGGGAATGTCCCTGTCCTCTCAAACTACAGCAGTGCAAGTGAAGTGAGTTAAGCTAGACGTGTTAAGGCAGAAAGAGCTGAGGCCGCCCCCCCCCAATACCTTTTAAAAATTAACGGGTTTTGCCTTATCTTCAAAGAGAAGTGCCTGTAAGTTGTAGCACAAATAAGTAATTGGGTCTTTGTAAAGTTGGGATTTTAGTGGTTTCAGTTTAATGCAGTACAGTTCAGCTTCAGATTTGTGACTTTTTGACCTTGACCTCATCTTTTGAAACTGAATTTTGAGCTAGGTTCCCACTACTCTTAATTGGGTTTAACCTTATGTCTCATACATACAAATATATATTTTAAGGAGATTCTCCTATATAGTAATTGTTTTGCTACTGAAGAGTTTTGCAAATGTACTAAATAAAGCAAAATGGGTCCTGGTACTTAGTGTCATAGATTAGCAGTTAAGTGAGTGGAGTGATCATTGGTTTCCACCATGTTATTCCTTAGGGAAAACAATTTTCTGTATTACTGTTGGGTCTTTCATTTTTTTAGAATTAAAAATGGGTGATGTTGAGAAAGGCAAGAAGATTTTTGTTCAGAAGTGTGCCCAATGCCACACGGTGGAAAAGGGAGGCAAGCACAAGACTGGGCCAAATCTCCATGGTCTGTTTGGGCGGAAGACAGGTCAGGCTGCTGGATTCTCTTATACAGATGCCAACAAGAACAAAGGTAAGAGAAGGACTGTTGTTAAATAACAGCACAAATTGCATGAATGTACTCTTATTTGGAGTATCAATTATTTAACCAATGCATCCCTTTTTGTTTAGGCATCACCTGGGGAGAGGATACACTGATGGAGTATTTGGAGAATCCCAAAAAGTACATCCCTGGAACAAAAATGATCTTCGCTGGCATTAAGAAGAAGGGAGAAAGGGCAGACCTAATAGCTTACCTCAAAAAAGCCACTAATGAGTAATAGCTACTGCCTTATTTATTACCAAACAGAAATGTCTCTTGGCTTTTTTATGTGCACCATAATTTAATTGA